CCCAAAACCCTGAAGCCCTAAGCCCTTAGCCCTCCACCGCCTGACGTCTCAAGGCTGGGGTCAGTTGACTTCTTCGCGCCCTACTTTCAGGCCTGCTAGGGTTTAGGGGTTTAGGCCCCTTTAGGGGTTTAGGGGTTTAGGGGTTTAGGGGTTTAGGGTTTAGGGTTTAGGCCTTTTAGAGGTTTAGGGGTTTAGAGGTTTAGGCCCCTAAAGGGGTTTATAGGTTCAGGGTTTAGGCCCCTTTAGGGGTTTAGGGTTTAGGCCTTTTAGGGGTTTAGGGGTTTAGGGTTTAGGCCCTTTAGGGGTTTAGGGTGTAGGCCCTTTAGGCTTTGTAGGGGTTTAGGGGTTTAGGGTTTAGGCCTTTTAGGGGCTTAGGGGTTTAGGGTTTAGGCCCCTTTAGGGGTTTAGGGTTTAGGGTTTAGGCCCCTTTAGGGGTTTAGGGTTTAGGCTTTTTAGGGGTTTAGGAGTTCAGGGTTTAGGCCCCTTTAGGAGTTTAGGGGTTTAGGGTTTAGGCCTTTTAGGGGTTTAGGGTTTAGGCGTTTTAGGGTTTTAGGAGTTTAGGGTTTAGGCCCCTTTAGGAGTTTAGGGGTTTAGGGGTTAGGCCCTTTAGGGGTTTAGGGATTCAGGGGTTAGGCCTTTTAGGGGTGTAGGGATCAGGTAGCCTTGCGCGTCTAGGGGAGAGTTGGAACTTGTGCAGTCTCCGGGGGGTTGAGCAGCCCCTGCTGGGGATATGGTTCGCGGTCCCAGGGTTTTATGCCCGAGGCTCGGTGTATCTTACCAGTTTACGGAATGTGTATAGGAACCTAAACCCTAAACCGAAACCCTGCTTAAAAACAAAAACCGAAACCCTACAATGCTACAGGGCCACACTACACTATCTACCTGCATGTGGTCGTAGCCGTAGCACCGATCCGAGCGGCCAGCTTGTGATTCCAAGAAGGTGTCTGTACACCTTATGCTCGCATGTGAAGTCGAATCGTTGCATGTGAAGTTGCACAGTTTGGCAGTTCATGAGCGGATAGGAGGCTATTGCACTTTGGCTCAGTCCATGTTTGATTCAAAGGTAAGGATTGTTTGCTAACCAGTCCCTTCATAGCACTGGATTTCGTGCACGTACGTGCAAGTAGGAGCTGCGTGTCCTTACCGGCCGCCTAAACCCTAAACCCTGAACCCCGGAGGAATAAGTAGTTCAAAACAACAACCTAAGCCATGCAAGCCTTAACTGTCAGCCCCAAAACCTTACCGTTGTTGCTTGCACGTATGACTTTAAAATGGAAACTTTTAGGCTGTTGCCCTCTCCCGCTTTTGCCTGGTGCCTGCAACGTTCAGTGCAAGCCGTATCCCATGGCACATTTCCGAGGATGCTAAAATCTTATCTTGCACAGCTATTTTGTGCCGATACTCTCATGTGCCAGTATGCTACATAGTCTCGATTGGGGTTGAGGGGCAGGATCAAGTGTAAGAGTGTGTCACTGTACGAGCGCACCTCTGGTGACTGCCCCACTTGCGCCTTGCCGAATTGACGAATATAGACACGGGTGTCTTCGTGAACAAGATCTTGCGACAGTAATGTTGACTCGCTTTAATCCCCCCCGCCCCCCCGATAGGGGGGGGGTCCTCTTGGGGGGATTGTTTCGGAGCACGGTAAAGGCCCGGTAAAGGCCTTCCCTCCGGGGCATAGGCATGGGGTTCACTATTGAGTTCCTGCGGTGGGGTATTATAGTTGAGGGTGGTTTATAATTGAGTTCCGGAGATCG